CCATGGCCTTCTTCCACTCCTCAGCATCATCACTCTCCAAGGCTTCCTTGAGAGTTGCTGGTTCTCCCGGCATCTCCACCGGAGAGAAGAATGCGAAGGCACACTCCTCGTAGTCACTCTCCTCGTCGTCTCCGACCATCATTGCCGCTCCAGCTAGGGCCGTCTTGCCCTGCTTCCCCGGCGCATCATAAGTCAACCTGCTAGGGGGTTGAACTCTCCTCTTCCCCCTTCCTTCCTCCTCAGCTGCAGGGACTTGAAGGCCTTGGCGTTGCTGCGGTGTGGTGCGGTTCCGTGGAGCGCTCGTAGTGCGGGAAGGGAGTGTCGGTGCACGCTCGCTCACTTGCTGCACCTCCTCCTCTTCTTCCTCTGCATCCTTGGCCTCCTCTCCCCCATTCACAAGGGAAGATTGCCTTGTGGTGGTGCTGCCGCTGCTCAGCTCCAAAGGCAGCTCCACGTGCTCCAGCCCGGAACTCTTCACCTCTCCAAACCGCACGCCTATCTTCGCCTCATTCTCCGCCTTCCAATCCTTGTACATGAAGTTCTCCATGAACTTGCAGTCCCTGCTCACCAAGAACTTCTTGGTGAAGGGGTCCCAAAGAAGCCACCCCTTGCTGTTTTGAGCCATGCCCAAGTGCACGGCCCACACCGCCTTGGCACCAAGCTTGTTGTGCCGAAGATGCTTAGGTACGAGCGCCATGCACATGCACCCGAACACCCGAAGCATATCCACCTTTGGCTTCCTTCCAAGCCACTCCACATAGGGCACCCATTTGTCTGCTCCCACATGAGTCAAAACTCTGTTCTTGGCCACACACGCGCTCCGCACCGCATCAGGCCAGAAATAGTCGGGTAGCCCGGCTTCAATGAGCAACCCGCGTGCCGCCTCCGTGATCGTCCGGTTCGCTCGCTCGGCAATGCCGTTCATTGCAGGGGAGTATGGCATGGTGAGGGAGTGCCGAATACCATTCTTCTTCAGCCACAACCCAAACTCCTTGCTCAGGAACTCTCCCCCTCGATCGGTGCGGATCGACTTCACTAGTCGGTCTTGTTGCCGCTCCACCATCGGGAACCAATCGGTCTTCAACGTTTCAGCAACGTCGCTCTTCTTAGCCAGCACGTACACCCAGGTCATGCGGGTGTAGACGTCGACGATGGTGAGGAAATATTCAGCTCCAGCAGCTCCAAGCTTCAGGGGGCCCACCACGTCCATCACCACCTCGTCAAGTGGTGCCTTAGCCATTGCCTCCGCACTTGAAAACGGGAATCGGGTGAACTTGGCTTGCAAGCACGTTGGGCAGCCAAGCACCTCATTGGGCTCCCCCTTCACACGTATGCCAGCAACCATCTCATTCTTCACTAGCTGCTGCAAGATGGGTAGGGCCACATGCCCCATTCGCCGATGCAAGGTGAGCCAATCACACTCCCCCGTAGCCGAAGTCGGATTGGAGAATGCCGCGCTCGCAATAGCGCCCCACATACTCTCTTCATAGTCCTCCTTCGCTGCTGCCTCGGGGTTCTCCTCACCCTTGTGCTGCTCCTTGGCTGCTGCACCTCTCTCCTTAGGTTCACACAGCTTGCTGGTCACTCCAGGTTTGCTCCTCTTGAGCTCGTTCTCCTTAGCGCGACCGTTCGCGCCATCGCCGCTACCAACCGCGTCATCATTGGCGCTGATGCTTGCTGCCACTTGCCTCTCCTTAGGCATGGGGACCACAGGGATCTGCCACATCTCGTTGTAGACATCCCTATCCTCATGAAGGTCCCATAGAATTCGGTCGCCAATCCTTGCGGTGTAGGTCTTGGCTCCCTTCGAGTTCGTGTCCATGCCGGCCTTTGCCAACCGCCGCACGGAAATCAGGTTCGCAGCAAGGCTGGGCACCCAAAGCACGTTCTTGAGGCCCACCATCTTTCCATCAGCACCCTTGAACATGGCCTTGCCCATGCCTTTCACCTCTGCTCGCTGCCCCAAAGCCGATGTGACATGCTTCACCGGTGACGGCTCGAGTTCGGTGAGCAAGTCCGGGCGAGGTGTCATGCTATAGGTAGCGCCGCTGTCGATCACCCAATAGTCCAGGGGGTGTAGGGTCACCTTCCCCACAGCTGCTGGCTCCTCAAGGTCTTCATCCTTCTCTGGACCAGCCGGTACTTGCGTCGACACAAAGTAGAATAGACCCGGGTATCGATCGCTGTCGTTATCTCCACTCTTCATGTTCGCGGCTCCACCTCCGCGACCGCCACGGCCTCCACGGCCTCTGCCTCTCCCTCCTCCTGCTCCTCCACCCTCTTGGCCTTGAGCAGGGGTCCATCCTTCAGGGAGTTTGTAGCAATCGCGCCACATGTGTCCGCTCTTGTGACAATAGTGGCACTCGCCGTCGAATCGTCCGCGACCGCGACCGTAGCTCTTGTCGTCGCTGCCGTATCCGCCATTCCCGCGGCCTCCACTGAAGTTGCTGCCACCAAATCTTCCTCCCCCTCGTCCTCTGCCTCTTCCTCGGCCGTACCCCCGGCCGATACTTGCTGCCCCAGCGCCATCTGCACTCGCCAATTCACGGCGGCGGAAATCCTCTCGAATGATTGCTCGCTTCACGTCTTCAAGCGAGAGGCGGGCCAAGTCACGGTTGAGGTTAATGATGAGCGAGGACCACGACTCTGGGAGTAAGGCCAGCAACTTGGTCTTCTTCTGGAGCTCACTGTAGTTCAAATCAGCTCCTTCAAGCCGCGTCAACAAGTCGAAGAATTTCTGCACCCCGTCTTCCACGGGTTCATCTTCCTCAATTCGTAGCGTCGCCATTTGCCGTTCCAACACCACAGCTACCGCCGCTGTTGCAAGAGCGTGTACACCCTTGAGAGCAGCCCATGCCTTTGGTCCCTTCTCTGGATCACGCTGGAAAGGCTTGATGTGACGGATTTGACTGCTCCCCAACGCTTGCCCAAGTAGGAGGTAGCCTTGTGCGCTCTTCCGCACCCACGGGCTCTTCTCCGGGTCGTTCTCGGGACGCTTCTCCGTTCCTTCCATCACCTCCAGCAGATCATAGTGATCAAACACGTTCTCCATTCTGAAGGACCACTCAGCAAAGTTGTCACCGTTGAACTTGTCAAGCCCGAACACTCTTGGCTCATCCCTTGAAGGCCCAAGAGTAGGTTGCACGGGCGCCACGGCTGAATCACGGGCTTGGCCTTGTGCTTGGGCTTCTCCATTGCCTCCAGCACCTCTGCCACCCCTCTCTTCAGGTCCAGCCATCGTCGTAGCTGCTCCAAGGGGCTCTGATACCACTTGTTATAGTCACAATAGGCTTCAATGTGCCTAAAACGAAAGATAGAGTGCACAGTCACGGCGAAACTGCTGCTGCCGGACGACTGGAAAATTCACGATGCATTCCACGTCAGCCTGCTGCGACAGTACGTCGCACCACAGTCGTTCGACGTCGCCCATCCCAACAACGTGCCGAGTGTTCGGCCTGTTGCGGACCCGACGCTTCAACCCTATAAGATCCTGAATCATCATCTGTGTGTGACGCTCACAGCTTGCTGCGACGGGCAGATCGCGCGAGTGAAGACGATACGTGGGTCACGATTGGCTCACTACAGGTCCGCTCGGTACTACGTGACTACCTTTCTCGAGGCCGCGTGTCTAAGGTTGACCACCTTTTTTTTAAACCCTCATCCTGAATTACAAAAACCAGTCAACGCTAGGCTTGGGGTGGGTTGGGGTTCAAGCAAACAAAGGTTCGGAAGCGTCAAATGTTATATCTGCTGCAGTTTGTTTAGGCTGCAGTGGGGTAGTTACTATGGGGTACAGTAAGTTTAGGGTTTCATACTTGTACCCAACCCTTTTCCTAGTGCAACCACTCATGTTCATTCTGACATGGTATTACGAGCCTAGGTTAGGCACCTAGGACCGCCTCTTGATTACTACGGGCCCACCGTTCCGTTAGAAGCGCCCTCGTGCGCCTTGCCTTACTCGCGCCCTCGTGCGCCTCTCTCTGCTCGTGCGCCCTCGCGCGCTCTGCCTCTTGCGCTGCTCGCGCGTCGTCCGCTACCGCGCGCGCGCAGCCCGCTAGCCACCCGCGCGCGGCCCGCTTGCTGTGCGCGCAGCCCGCTAGCCGCCCGCGCAGCCAGCGCCGCTAGCGCGCGGCCCGTCGCGGCCTTGTGCGGCCCCGTGCGCAGCCCGCGAGCTGCTCGCCGCCTCGCGCTGCCGTCGCTCGCACGCAGGCCGCCGCCTCGCGCAGCCTCCGTCCGTACGCAGGCCGCAGCCTGCGCGCCGCAGCTGCTCGCACGCCGGCCGCAGCAACCGCAGCCTGTGCGCCGATGCCGCCCACGCGCAACCGCAGCCCACGCGCAACCGCAGCCCGCGCGCAACCGTAGCCTGCGCGCCGCTACCGCCCGCGCGCAGGCCTTCCGTCGCGCCGCTCTGCCTGTTCGAGCCGAGCCGCGCCGCCCTGCCCGAGCCGAGCCGCGGCGCCATACTGCTACTGTTGTTCCTGCTGTTCTTACTGCTACAACTACTGCTGCAACTATGGCTACACCCACAGTTCTCTCTTTCGATGCTGAGGGCCGTCCGCTCCAGTTTGATGCTTGGCTTGACGACATGCACTTGTTCCTCCAGATCACCGCTAAGGACGATGTCTCGCTGTATGACCACGCGTCCGGAACCGCTCTAGCACCTGCTGACACTGCTGACAGTACAGCTCGCTCCCAGTGGCAGACTCGTGACGCCCACGCTCGCCTAGCCATTCGCAGTCACCTACCGTTGGATGAGCGTGCACACTTTGGCCAGCACAAGACTGTTAAGGAGCTGTACGATGCAGTAGTCGCCCGCTACTCCTCGCCTGCCTCCTCTATGATAGGCCGTCTCTCTCTGCCCTATCTTTTCCCCGATCTCGCCGCCTTTCCCACAGTCGCTGACCTCATTACACACCTCTGCACTAGTGACACTCGCTTCCGAGCCGCCCTTCCTGCTGAATTCCTTGCCAAGAACCCCCCCCCCCCCCCCCCCCCCTCCGATGTACCTCGTTCTCTACCACCTAGTCACCCGTCTCCCTGACTCTCTTCGCGCAGTCAGGGACCACTTTCTCGCCCTCTGCCCTACCGAGCTCACCATTGACCTGCTCGAGAAGCATCTGCTTGCAGCTGAGGCTAGTATAGTTGCTGTAGGTGCCTCTCGTGGCGACCCCCGCACGCCCTTCTTCGACGGGTGTTCCCCTTCCCCCCTTCTCCCCTCGGTTGCCTCTGCTGCCGCTGTCGACTTCCTCGGTGCTGAGGACGTCGGGGCTGCGTCTGCTCCTAGCTGGAGGCGCAAGAGCGGCAAGGGCAAAGGGGGCAAGGGTGGTGGCGGTGCAAGCGGGGGAGGTGGAGGTGGAGGTGGAGGTGGAGGCGGTGGGGGCGGCGGGGGGGGTGGCGGTGGTGGGGGTGGTGGCGGGGCTGGGGTGGTCAGTGGCAGCTGCGGGGGTGGTGGCGGCAGTGGTGCTGGAGGAGGCCGGGATGGAGGTGGTGGTGGTGGCGGCAGTGGGCGTGGTGGCGGCGGCTCGGGTGGTGGTCGGGGTGGACCAGCGTAGCGTGGAGGCTCGGGTGGTCCCCAGCATCGGCAGCAGCGTCTTGGAGAGACCCCGTCATCCCAGCAGCTTTGTGGGTGGTACTCTCAGCATGGGGGGTCTGGGGGTGGAGGTACCTGCACGTATGTCATCCGCACAGGTGGCCGCGCTGGTGGAGGTACCTGCACGTATGTCATTCGCACAGGTGACCGCGCTGGTCAGACATGTGGGAGGTTCCACACGCCGCCCGCTGCTTCTCCCGCCTCAACGCGCCTGGCGTGCACAGTTCCCGGAGGCCTCTGAGCTGCCCCGCTGGGCTGATCTGCTTAAAAAGAACATTGATGTCTTTGCACTTGACTTTGATGTTATCCTTGGAGCCATGTATGCATTGACAATTGGTGTTGAGGGTGACTGTTACTTGTGTGTGCCACCAGACCCAGGCATTGCGACCAGTGAGGCTGCTGCTCTAGGTGCTAGTGCGTCTGCTGCCCCAGGTCCTCGTGAGGCTGCTGCTCTAGGTGCAGGTGTGTCTGCTGCCCCAGGTGCTTGTGAGACTGCGCCTTCAGGTACAGCGTCTACTGCGGCACTGCACACCTTCACACTGGACTCAGGTGCTTCCCGCTGTTTCTTTCGCGACCGCACTGCCCTAGAGCAGCTCCCTAGACCGGTTGCTGTCTCCTTGGCTGACCCCTCTGGGGGCCCGGTCCTTGCGACCTCCTCCACTGTCCTCCCTTGTCCTGCGGTCCCGTCTGGCACCCTGTCAGGTCTTTACCTCCCCTCGTTCTCTACGAACTTGGTGGCGGGCTCTGCTCTATAGGACGGGGGTGTTCACCAGTTCACCCCTGCCTATGAGCGTGTGACCCACTGTACGTGTGCTCGGACGGGTCGCCACCTAGCTACCTTCACTCGGCAGCCGGGGTCGGACTTGTACACACTGACCACTGAGTCCCCTCAGGTAGCTGCGTCTGCGTCTGCGTCAGGTCAGCTGTCGGCCCCCTGCTCGTGTCGCTCCCTGTCACACCAGACTGTCCTCTGGCACCACCGCCTTGGTCACCCGTCAGTGCAGCGCCTTCGCGGCATGCACCGTCGCCTCCTTGTCTCTGGTCTTCCCAGGGTTCTCCCTCCCCTCCCACCCTCGCCTGCTCCTCCCTGTCTTCCCTGTGTTGAGGGGCGGCAGCGCGCCACTCCTCACTCCTCCGAGTTTCCCCCGACAAAGGCTCCTCCGCAGACACTCCACATGCACGTGTGGGGCCCCGCCCACGTCCATGGACAGGGCGGGGAGCGCTACTTTCTGCTGGTAGTTGACGACTACACGCGTTACACCACGGTCTTCCCCTTGCGCACCAAGGGTGAGGTCCCTGATGTCTTGATCCCTTGGATCCGCGCTACCCGTCTCCAGCTGGAGAGGCGCTTTCGCTCGGACCTTCCAGTCCTGCGACTGCACTCTGATAGAGGTGGTGAGTTTTCCTCCGACCTCTTGAGGGCCTTCTGTCAGAGGGAGGGCATTAAGCAGAAGTTCACGCTTCCGGCCTCTCCGCAGCAGAATGGGGTTGCTGAGCGCCGCATTGGCCTGGTCATGGAGATCGCTCGTACCTCCTTGGTCCATGCGGCTGCCCCCCATTTTCTGTGGCCGTTTGCGGTTCGGTACGCCGCGCATCAGCTCAACCTCTGGCCCCGTGTCTCCGCTCCGGAGACCTCGCCGACACTGCGTTGGACGGGAGAGGTTGGCGATGCGTCGGTGTTCCGAGTCTGGGGATCTCGTGCCTTTGTCCGCGATGCGTCCGCGGACAAGCTCTCCTCCCGTACCCTCCCCTGTGTCTTCCTTGGCTTTGTCTCTGACGCGCCTGGCTGGCAGTTTTACCACCCCACCTCGCGCCGTGTCTTCCCTTCTCAGGACGTCACGTTTGACGAGTCGGTCCCCTTTTACCGTCTCTTCCCCTACCGCACTGCCCCGCTCCCCCCTCCGCCGCTCTTCCTCACGCCAGATGTTGCTTCGGTAGACCCCCTGCCTCCCCAGGGTCCTGCTCCCTCAGGTGTTTCCCAGGTAGACCCGGTTGAGCCTGTCGAGGTAGCTGTCGACTCTGGTCCTGCGCGAGGTACTGAGCCTGAGCGTGCCGAGCCTGGTGGTGCTGGGTCTGGTGGTACCGAGACTGGGGGTGCTGAGCCTGGGGGTGCGGAGACTGGGGGTGCTGAGCCTGGGGGTGCAGAGCCTGGGGTGTTGGCGCTGCTGGAGCTGGTGGTGCTGCAGGAGTTGGAGCTGCCGCTGGGGGTGCTGGTGCTGTTGGTGCTGGTGGCACTGCGCAACCTCGACTGTTCTTCGCTCCACCGTCTCCGTCCTCTCTGCCACCACCTGACTCTGTTCTTTGTCAAGTTCTTACCCTCCCGTTGTCTACTGGTCTTCCGTTACAGCCTGGCTCACCGCTGCCTGCTCCTTCTCCTTACACTGAGCAGACAGGAGGTCTTACTGAGCGTCGTGAGCCTGCGTCTCGTCCTGCGTCGCCCGTTCGCACTGCTCGCACTAGTCGTCGTGTTCCGCGTCCGCGTCCTCCTCCTGTCCCTGGCACGCACCAGATGGCACTTCGTCCGTCCACTGCTCCACAGCGTGTCCCTCCCCCGTTTCCTCCTCCGTCCTCCCTTGCTGACGGTCCGGACCCTGAGTCCGACTCTCTTCGTGCTGCTAGTCCTACTGTCACGCGTCTCCTGGCCACTGTTGTCACTGACCCTTCCTTTGAGTCCGCTGCTGCGTCTGCCTTAGTTGCTGAGCTTGTCGACTTTGCTGCTCACTGTCGTCTAGACTACGCCGCGAGTCTTGTTGCTGAGTCTGAGTCTGTCTGTCCTCCGTCCGTCGGGGGTGAGTGTGCTCTTGGCACGGACGTCCTTGAGGACAGGCAGGAGGAGTTTGAGTGCTTTGCCGCTGCTGTACCTCATCTCGTGTCCATGCTGATTGCACCTGAGGGAGACCCGGATGCACCAGACATCCCTACCCCGCGCTCTTACGCTGAGGCGATCGCGGGTGATAACTCCTCTTAGTGGCAGACAGCCATGGACGCAGAGATGGCTTCCTGGAAGTCCACTGGCACTTACGTCGACGAGGTTCCCCCTCCTGGGGCGAACATCGTCAGTGGCATGTGGATTTTCAGGGTGAAGCGGCCACCAGGTTCTCCACCTGTCTTCAAGGCTCGTTACGTTGCTCGAGGCTTCAGTCAGCGAGAGGGAGTAGACTTCTTCCAGGCCTTCTCCCCCACCCCGAAGATGACCACTCTTTGGGTGCTGCTGCACGTTGCCGCTCAGCGTGACTACGAGCTTCACTCTCTTGACTTCAGCACAGCTTTCTTGCAGGGCAGCCTGCACGAGGAGATTTGGCTACGCCGCCCCTCGGACTTCACTGGGTCATTCCCTCCTGGTACCCAGTGGAGCCTCCGGCGGCCGGTCTACGGTCTCCGCCAGGCGCCACGTGAGTGGCACGACACACTGAGGACTACGCTTGCAGCTCTTGGGTTTGCGCCTTCTACTGCTGACCCGTCGCTGTTTCTGCGCACCGACACTTCACTGCCGCCGTTCTACATCCTCGTGTACGTCGATGACTTGGTCTTTGCCACTGCTGACACTGAGGCTCTCGCCCACGTGAAGTCGGAGCTGCAGAAGAGACACACGTGCACAGACCTGGGTGAACTGCGCAGCTACCTTGGCTTGCAGATCACCCGGGACAGAGCACGCCGCACCATCACCCTGACTCAGTCGCACATGGTGCAGCAGGTCCTTCAGCGCTTCAGCTTCACCTGGTCCTCGGCACAGGCCACTCCTCTGGCTACAGGTCACTCGCTCTCAGCTCCACCTTCGGACGAGTCCGTAGAGCCGAGTGGTCCTTACCCAGAGCTAGTTGGCTGCCTCATGTACCTGATGACTTGCACTCGTCCTGACCTCGCGTACCCTCTTGGTCTTCTGGCTCGCTACGTGGCTCCTGGTCGGCACCGACCTGAGCACATGGCTGCTGCTAAGAGGGTACTGCGCTACTTGTGCAGCACATCAGGCATGGGCCTAGTGCTTGGAGGGAACAGCCCAATTGTCCTCACTGGGCACTCAGACGCTTCTTGGGTGGACGACCAGGCTACTCAGCGGTCGTCACAGGGTTACACCTTCAGCCTTGGCTCTGGTTCAGTTTCGTGGCGTTCTACATGCTCGTCTTCAGTTCTCAGCTCCAGTTGTGAGGCTGAGATCTACGCCACAGCCATGGCTGCACAGGAGTTACACTGGCTCACCTACCTGCTGACTGACTTGGGAGAGCAGCCTCGTTCTCCTCCAGTGCTGTACGTCGACAACAAGGCCGCTATTGCCTTGTGTGAGGAGCATAGACTGGAGCACAGAACGAAGCACATCGCTCTGCGTTACTTCCTGGCTCGAGAGTTGCAGCAGCGTGGTCAGCTTCGTCTGCGGCACGTGGCCACTCGGGTCAACACTGCTGATATATTCACCAAGGCTCTTCAGCCTGGTGATCATCAGCGTTTCTGCACTATGCTAGGGCTTGTGCCCACTTTTCCTCACTTGCTGTAGGCCTTGCTTGTACTGTGATCTATGCATATATATACCTGCATGCTTGCATTGCTAGGTAGAGATCACTGTAATGTTTGTGTTGCATATATGCCTCTGCATGTGAACTGGCCTTGTGGCCCTTTGCTTGTGCTCAGAGTGTGTGGTGACTTTGTGATCCACCCTGAGCTTGCTTTGTCTTTCTTGACTGGTCTTGTGACCACTTGTTCTCAGCCACTTTGCCTATGGGGGTGTGTCAAATGTTTTATCTGCTGCAGTTTGTTTAGGCTGCAGTGGGGTAGTTACTATGGGGTACAGTAAGTTTAGGGTTTCATACTTGTACCCAACCCTTTTCCTAGTGCAACCACTCTTAATCATTCTGACAGGAAGTTGAACGAAAGATGCGCCCTAGCGAAAACAATGTGCGACGGCCTAGTGTCGCGACCACGCAAACAACTGTGCGAGCGAATGTGCCTACTCAAGTCAGTAGAGGGCGAACAAAAACCACTTCGACAGTATTCACGAAGTCCAAACCTAATAGCCAGACTTCAAGTAGGTGTTAATCAGCAACCGACCATGACGTCTCCTTACCACCCGAGTTTCCCCTATATTACGCACGCAAAATCAAGCCCCGTCGGGAACAATTTAGGCCTATATCGCACGCGCAGTCTTGATACCCGACGATGCCCGCATTTAGCCCAGCCGCTGTTCTAAGGTATGGTTGCCTATTGGTGCTCCTCGGACTAGGCAGTTTCTATCGACCTGAATTACAGGTTTCCAGTTTGGTGTGCACACCAACGCCCAAAGTGGTTGCGACACTTCCCTGAGGTGCCTGCGACTTCATCACGTTTTGCAGTACGCCAAATGATAACCACCCTGGTTCGGGAGGGAAAGTGTTAACACCTCCCAACTTTTTTTGTAATTCAGGCTGCGGTTCTTAAGGAGGGGGGGGGGGGGGGGGGGGGGGGGGGGGGTGGGTGGGGGGAAAGGTTAGTCTAACGAATTTTCATAATTTCTTACTAGGTCACCTCATGCGTGTACAACTCCAATTTTCGGAGGTCCAGACTAGGTCCGATGACCTCGCCCTCCGATCCGAACGTTCCACGAGTCGCCTTCGGTTTTTCCAACCCCGAATCTGCACCGAACCATTCGCGACCCCGCGAACCCAGCCTACCTAGCCTTCGGTATAACTTTGCTAGGCTTCATTATTCATGTTACGAATAGTAATACTTGAATATTACTGTGCACTCCTCACCGCAGCAAAGAGAAGCACGCAGTATCGGGAATGAACGCGAAGCGTCAGACGGTTGGAATTGACTCGAAGCGTCAGACAGTTGGGACGCATCTGGACCGTCGGAGCAGACGGCATCGGGCAGCTGCAGGCAGGATGGTTTCGGCGGGAACAGTTTCGTAACTGTACGCGCCGCACGGTTGGGAATGTATTTGAATAAGGGAATGTACCCCTTAGAGTACATGGCTAGCTAGGTCGTTTCGTCTTCCCTGTACTCATATTTATATTTGCTGTATTTGCATGTTTTAATCATCTCAAAGCATTTTACATTCACTCTGCTATTGAGGTCAAGGGCCTACCAACATCACCTCTCTGTGTGCGAACCTTCCTGAGTAGATCCTAGGCCACGATCAATTTCTGATCGCAGCATGGTATGAGAGCGGCTCGGGAATCCTTCGCACTGCCACTCCCGAAAATTGCGACATTCGGAAAGTGGCGTCCGGCACACGCTCACGAGTGAAGATGGCCGGAGGATCTGGTGGTCAGACTAATCTGACGGCTGAAGCGCAACCCAACCCGGCTGCGACAAGCGAGAACACGACGACGATCGGCACCGAAGTTCTCGCACAACTTCTTCAGCGACTCACCAGTCTGGAGCAAGGGCTCCAAACATTGCGGAACGGCGACGCGGGAACCTCCTCGCAACCTTCTCAACCGGCCCCAACTGGCCAGAACGCCGCCCCGCACACATTCTCCCTCGACACCAATGGCTCAACCCCCAAGACTCCCCGTCCCAGTGAAGAGGCAATTCTCTCTGCTCAATCAAAGTTTCTGAGCATATCAAAAATATAGTCAAGCGCCTGTTTTGACGGCAGAGACTTCTATACCTGGAGCTTCGAATTGGAGCTCTTGCTGCAGAACGCCCAAATCTTCCACTATTTCGACGGGAGCTACGCGGAGCCTGCCGGCGACACGGACGACGCCAGGACTCGCTACTACAACGAGTCCCTGATGGCGTATGGGGTGCTCCTGCGAAACATGTCGCCGGCGGAGCAACTGAGCATTCGCTCGTACAAGACTTCGGCCGCCCCAGCCCTCGAAGCTTGGCGTCATCTCAACGGTGTGTATCAGCCGAAGGACTCCGTCTCTTCGAGCCGGCTGCTCCAGCAGCTACTGGAGACCAAAATGGCCCCAGGGGAGAAGGCCAACAGCTACATCAATCGACGTCGAACCCTTCGCGATCAAATCGCGAAGTTGGGAAGCTCGATCTCGGAAGAAATTTTCGTCAATATCGTGCTTCAAGGGCTCGGCCCAGAATGGCGGCCCTGCAAGGCGCTTCTTCGACAGCAGGGGGTCATCTCGGAGGCCGCCCTTTGCGCCGCCCTTCTCGTCGAACAGAGGGATATGGATCAGCAGCGACCAGCGCCGCGACGAGAACGCGAACGGCTCGCCTTCTACGCCGACAACACCGAAGAGCGAAAGCCACGGCGCCTCTACTGCAAAATCTGCAGAAATTTCGGGCATCTGGCGGATCGATGCAAGAACCGATCTCGCCCTCGCCAGACCAATCCGAGCACCTGGTCCGGCCGTCAAGACGCACGAGGCGACGTGCGTCCAGCCCAGGGGTATCAGCCCCCTCCCGCGCGCAACCTGAACCCAGCGGTTCAGCATCAGCAGCAGCAGCCGTCATCGACTGCCCCAGTTCGCAATGTCATGAGCAACATGGCCATGACAGGCGAGTCGCGTCGTCGCCGCGTGCGCTCACCTTCACCTGAGCCGGCACCGCACCCCATTGGCGCGTTCACCAACAACAACCCATTCAGTCCGCGCCATGACTTCACCGACGACGACGACCAGGACTGGAATCTTCCAGTCCCGCTGCTTGAAAGTCCCCCGCACGTACCTGATATGCGGGTGGCGCCACTTGACTGGCTCTCGCGCGAGCAATTTCTGAAGTTCGACACTCCGCACATCGTCACGCCGCGACTGGCGCTGCTCGCACGTGACGACAACAAGCGCTACAACACCTGGTACCTGGACAGCTGCTGCGGCCAGCACATGGTGGGCTCGGAGCGTTACATATCCAACGCCGTCGCGACCCCTACAGTCACTTACGTCACCGTGGCGAACAACACGCGCCTGCGCGCAAGCGCGCAAGGCATCGTCGTGCTCAAAGCACGCGGAAGCCGCACGCACATCACGCTCAACGATGTGCTGATTGTCTAGAACCTGCGCTTCAACCTCCTGTCCGCCGCACAGCTCATGGACTGCGGCGTCGACCTCAGCACGGATCGCGCGACGCGCGACATCCTGCTGCACTACGAATCGCGCAAATTTTCCCGCAGGCAGATCGGACGAGCACACTCCGAGAATGGAGTGTATGTCCTAGATTTCGACATTCCCGACTGCAGCGGCGACTCGCACGAGCTGATTGACCTCGTGCCACTGCGCTTCGAGCACATCCACCGCAGGGATTGGAAGCACCCTGACGGCAGACCGTGGGTGCCGCATCATCCCCACCCACGCGAAACGACGTTGCACAACCCCGATCCAGATGGCATCTGCAGGGATTGTCACACGCCGACAACATCAACGAGCGCGATTGCCGGCCGCGGACTCGCCGCCATCGCTGAAGCAGAGCGCCACGCGCCACCAGAGGAAGGGATGTCGCAGCTCGAGCTTGAAGTCACTACCCACGGCGTTTTCGGCACGCCAGAGCATCCTCTCATCGGTCCCCCCTCACAGCACCTTCAAGGCATGCTGCGCGGAACTGGCGTCGGCACCTTTGATGCCCATGGCGAGCCGCGACCCTACACCTACGAGAAGTTTCTAGACATCTACTCTCATCGACGCGACTCGTCGAAGAAACTGACCGTGGAGCAAGAGGAAGAATTGGCGCGCTACAAAGCTGAGGAGCTTCGCCAGCAAAGCCTCGCAATAGCACGCGGGACCTTCGCTTGCGCCGCCTGGGGAGCTGAGGCGGAAGAAAGTGCCTCCAATGAAGGGGGGTGGGGGAGCGCTGGCGGATGGGGAACAAGTGATACCAACGGTTGGGGGTTCAACGGCGGCACATGGGCCAACGCCAGCGGCGGATGGGACGCCGCACCTAGCGCCGACAACAGCGGCTGGGGAACTTTCCGCGAAGAATGAAGGGGGGGAGAAGATGAAGCTGAGGAAACTGAGGCAACACCTGCAGTCGTTCCTCTTGGTCGTCCCCCGCGCCACGTCCCACTCGCACTACCTCCTCCTGATAACCCCCCGCGCGATCCATGGGACACCATCGTCTGGGGCAACGAGCCGTCAACCCCGCGTCGCACCGTCTACGGACCCGCCCCTGAGCCACGCGAACCCACCTTCGTCCCTGGAACCATCCCTGGGACCAACATCCCGCTCTCTGAAATTCGCGACAGAGAGTTCTTGGCGCTGATGCTGACTTCTGCGGCAGAAGAAGAAGATACAGAGGAAGCTGCACCAGAACCTGCTCCTGTACCTGACGAAGACCCTGAGGAAGCTCGCGCGCGCTACATGCGCACCTCCGGCTTTCGCGCTGACGACGCACTCTGGCACCAGCGCCTCGGACATCCCTCACGCGCGACGCTGAAAAACTGCATCGACGCAGGCGTCTTCGCTCCTGGCGCACTCCTGCGCCCTGATGGCTCCGAAGTGAGAGGCGCGACACATCCGCGCAACTGCACCATCTGCCCCGAAGCTGCGCTGAGCCACCAACCGTTCCCGCTGCTCGAACCTGGAACGAACCGCTACCCCAAGCTGCACAAGGTGTACAGCGATTTCC